ATAACTGCATAGTCTTCACCATATAAATTAAGTATAGATTAATCATTTTTGATGTTACAAAGGCTATTTAGTCAGGAGCAGTGAGTGCTTGTATTTTTATTTGACAGCATTAGACTTATTATTAGTTTGCTTTCACTTTAAGAATGAAAGCACGGATTTAACTACTGATACACAGGCGCGTGCAGAGGGGGGTGTGGTGGGTGCTTGAGCACCTGCCCCTTTTCCCCTTGATGGCCAAAGTGCCCTTTTGTCAAGGCCATTTTTATATATTTTTTTTTATTAAATGCCCTTTTGTGAAATATTATTATTTTACAAGAAGGACGTGAAGAGAGCATGCACAGCTGCTGTTTATATTGCTGTGTAGCCTGTGGAAATAACCTTAGCTGCAGCAAGGGGCTGTAATATTTTTGTTCAATATTTTCCTAATGACAATTTTATGATTGGTTTATAAAGGCTACTACAAACACATTTTTTCCCATTTTTATCACATAATAAGGCAGAAAATATATTTTATAGTTTCTTTACTAAATTATGTCAATCAGTAGCTACTGCATTATACGTATAGTTTATTTATTTATTACCTGGAGATAACTTGAAAAACACACACAAACCATATATATTCGCAGTCGTGTGTTTATTGTCCTCACGTCATCAGTAAAAACGTTTCAGCTTTTTATTAAGCTCAGCTACTGCATAGCCTGATGCTTTTGTCCATATTATGGGTTTCCTGCATGTCATAGTTATTTCTTCTATGAGTCTGTTTTAAACTTTCTGCGCGAGATCGCCCTCTGGCCTCGAGTATGAATGAAACATGCACTCCTTATATTCACATCTCATTTTGGATAGGAATAAAACGTCAGGTCATGCATAGACTATTGATATTGTCTCTTTGAATTTAAACTCAGATTTAAATCTAAAAACCTCTAAGTTAACCCACCTGCCCGGATAAAGTGCAGGGGACGAATTTACATTTTACATGTCACGTCACATCACATTTGTATTTTTTTTTATTTTACTAAAATGACATTTTTATTAAATATTAAAAATGCAGCTAAAGTAGTTCTACACAGCAGTATAAACAAAGGTGCCTGTTCTCTTTCGTTCTTGCTGTTTGATCGGGAAAAGTTTAAAGGGCGTCGAGGGATCTTGTCTTTTTATGTTATCTGACTAAAAACTATTCATACTTTGAACTTTTAGGCCTATTATTACAGTATTTATTTAAAAAACATAGAGTGCATTAAAATAATTATCATATAGCACTGATAAAACGGATTTTCTCATCCTACAAATTTTACTTATCAATCCTGTTTTTATTATCATTATCATACAAAAAATGAATAAATTCAGAGCAGGATTAGAATATAATTCCATAATAAACAACAACAGTAGTGTTTGCAACAGCAAAACCACCATACCCTGTAAACTCAGTAATAATAATAATAATAATAATAATAATAATAATATAATCCAGTTTCTAATTTCAGAGTAATTAAAAGGTGCAAAGAAAAAATAAGTTTTAAACTTAAAATGGTCTTTTCTGTTCTGTGTTTCTTTTTCAAAACTGTGTCACAGCATTTGCTGCTGTATCAGTACAGACGCATCCGTTTCGATACACGTCTCAGCAAGGAGCACAGTCTTATTTTAAAGCCGTGTCCCATGTGCCCCTTTTATACTTTGAGCACCTGCCCCTCCAAAGGTCTCTGCACGGCCCTGCTGATACACATGCCTTTTCTTTCTCAACTGTTTACGTTAGACATATGCCTAACCGACTATATTTACTAGGATATTCGCCAAAACGCGCATTTTGATGTAATTCTGTCTGTATTTATTCATTCATGCACAAAACAGCGGAAGAGAGCTCAATTTAGTAGGCTATTTGCGCAGTGTAGACACAGCTGTCTGTGTGTGTGCGCGCGCTTCAGATGTATGTGCAGAAAACCTCTCACACAGCGCTCGACTGTTCCGCAAACAATCCCGAGCGTCCTTTATGCTCACCTTGTGCTTTCGGGCAGTCCTTATATCGAGTCCTGACACGTGAGTTTGAACGAGAATGCATGCGTTGGCGGTAATGCATAGACTGACATTATGTGAAAATGTGGACAGTGGCATACGTGTGGCATCGATGCATCGTATCGTCAGACAGGGGCGGATTTAGTGAATTGGAGGCCCCAGGCAAAATATAGGAATGGGGCCCTATACATTTTCACACATTTTCCTAGATCGACCTTGAGGTTCCTTTCCGACTATATTTACTAGGATATTCGCCAAAACACGTATTTTGATGTAATTCTGTCTGTATTTATTCATTCATGCACAAAACAGCGGAAGAGAGCTCAATTTAGTAGGCTATTTGCGCAGTGTAGACACAGCTGTCTGTGTGTGCGCGCGCTTCAGATGTATGTGCAGAAAACCTCTCACACAGCGCTCGACTGTTCCGCAAACAATCCCGAGCGTCCTTTATGCTCACCTTGTGCTTTCGGGCAGTCCTTATATCGAGTCCTGACACGTGAGTTTGAACGAGAATGCATGCGTTGGCGGTAATGCATAGACTGACATTATGTGAAAATGTGGACAGTGGCATACGTGTGGCATCGATGCATCGTATCGTCAGACAGGGGCGGATTTAGTGAATTGGAGGCCCCAGGCAAAATATAGGAATGGGGCCCTATACATTTTCACACATTTTCCTAGATCGACCTTGAGGTTCCTTTTTTGTTGTGATGCTTGCTGCTGCACAATGGTGCCCCATAGTTGTGTCCAATGTTTCTACATTTTCATGTACATGTTATAATGGATTTCTTTCATGTTGTAGTGGGGGACCAGATGATCAGTGAGAGCAGAACGAATGTGTCAAACGTTTTAAACTCAACAAAATGGTAAAATACATACAGTATATCAAGAGCATGCTCACAGATGAGAACAAAACAGCGTTGGATGAAGTGGATTAGAGCCCTGCAGGGGTCTCAAATATAGGCCCTAGACTGTCTTTTTCCCCTTTCCCCCAAAAAAGCTTATACTACTGTTTCAGCTATTAAAATAGTTCCGTTTTGTATGTAATGGAAAAGGGATTACATTTTGTTTAGTTTTTTTATAAAGTAAATTTAGAAAAACGTTTGGAGCATTTTTTGTTCGTTAATATGTACATTTTTTTAAGTAACGGCCAGCGGCAGACAGTGAATTGATCATAGCCTATATGTTTTATCAATTTAGCCTTCTCAAATCATCACAACTTGCCTACAGTAAAGTCTATAGATATAAAACAGTTCAAGCATATCACAATGTTAGTTTAATGTTTAACTTAGATAAATGTGTGCTGATAGACGCATATCCAATCGGTACACGGTCTCCCTACTGTTTACATTCACTTAAGACGTAATCAACTATGTTTACGTGAATACTCATCAAAACGGAAAATTCAACATCATTTTGTGTGTAATTCTCCGTAAATGCGACGCGAAAGAGTACTCGTGCGCTGTGAGAGGCGCTTTCTGTGTGTGTGTGCTTCAGTGTCTGCGCTCAGAAAACCAGACCGAATTGAGTTCTCTCTTGCATCGTCAGATTTATCCATATGTCTGCTCTTCTCTTACTCCCACATATTGACATTTTTGAACGTTTTATGCGACGTGCAGCAAGTGTATATTAGCTTATATCATGCCGGCTCATATGTACGCATCTAACCTCCGAACCACTCTGCAGATTGCTTCTGAATGAATCTCTTCCCAAATCGTCCATCCCTAACATGTTCGTCTCGTTTTTATTCGTTGACAAAAATGTCAATAGATTTACCTTATAGTTTTTTGTCATTCAAAAAGAGTTTTAGTTCGTCATCGTCTCGTTGTTGTCAGTGAAAAAAATGTCTATGACGAAAATTATTCATCAACTAAATTAACATGGGTATGCTGCAATCAAATTGCCTTTGGGAAATTTGCCACAGTGAATTTCAAATAGGTTTACATTTTCAAAATTTCAAAAACATCAAAAGTTCCCCTAAATGAAACCTCCATTTAGAACATTAATGTTTATGAAAACACCTACAAATAATGATGAATGAATGCTTGTTGTGTATCAATATATATATATATATATGATAATCATTGTGCAACATCCAGGTGCAACACATGATCAAAGAACAACGCAGAAAACAAGAGTAAGTTACAAAAAGTTTGTTAGGCTACTAATATGTTTGTAGATATTACATTAGTCATTGCTGGTGGAATGACCAGTTTTAAACAAGGTAGAAGAACATAGCGAAGAGCAATTTAAATGGTACACTCTAAAAAATGCTGTGTTAAATATAACCCAGCGCTGGGTTCAAAACAACCTTGTTTACATGTTTGGCATGGGGCACATAAGCTCCTAATGATGTCGCTGTAATTATTCAGGTATTCTAGAATTGTTGCTTTCACTTTATATTTGTAGGAAAAAAATTATATTTTAACTGACAACAAGGAATAAATCAATGACATTTCAGTTTTTCTTTTCTGCACTTTTCACACAAATTAAACACAGACAAGAACATGGATAATGTTGAATAATCATCCTTACATCCTTACATGTTAGATGCTTTTAATGCATGACTTTATGTTAAACGGCATCAAAATGAGATATATAAACATATCCATATGAAAAACCTGCTGAAAGACATTTGGGTCTATTTCAAGCTAGTGTGTGATCTTAAGTAAACAGGCTTTTAATTCGTTTTTTTTTTTTTTTCGTAAAATATCAAGAAACTCAAAACAATCACATCAGGATGGCTTAGAAACAAATGTGTTAATCCACAGACACATTTAAATGGGTTTACTCAGGTGAATGCCAGCCAGCAAACGCCCAATCAGGAAAGATTAATAAAAACATTAAACTCATTAAAATCTTTAAATAACATTAAACATTACGAAAACGTGAAAAAAAACGGAAGTTTAGACTACTTCCTGTATTTGTATCTGTAACCAGCTCTTCCTATTACTTTTCCTTTAATCCTATTATGCTCAGATCTCCTGTTTCTATGGTTGCTCCATTTTTGCAGCTAAAATTAATGCAATTAATGCAGTTGCTCCTATTATTCCCACACATGCTCCAATTTCCAATCTTCGAATGCGTTCCTGGATTGTATTAAATCTCTCTGGAGTGGGATGGTGTGTCATATTTCTCTCCATCATTTGATCTATCTTCTCTAGCAGCATGGTGACTTGCTCTTGGTTTTCCCTGTTTATATTGTTGAATGAATGATATCTGCCATCACAACTGTTAATGAGGGACTGGAGATCAGGACTGTCTCTGATAAAGTCATCCAAAGGTCTACCGTTCAGTTGGTCATCATGCGTGAAGAGGATGAAGGTGTAACGTGCAGCATCTTCTCCAAAGTTGCTTCTAATCCATTTCACAATATTCTTCTCTTCATCTGTGATTCTCACATCCAGTCTGATGACTAGCAGAAACACGTGAAGACCAGGAAATGACAGGCGAGCAAATTTCTCCATTTCATCATTCAGTTGCATTTCATGCATTGTTGAATTAAACAGTCCTGCAGTGTCGATCACGGAGATGTTTCTTCTACGCACTCTTGCTGTTTCTCTGCGGCACGTTCGAGTGACTGCTTGTGGAGCAAACATTTCTATAAATGCATTTCTGCCCAGGATAGTGTTTCCTGTTGAGCTTTTTCCTGACCCAACACTTCCCATCAGTGCCATCCTGATATCTACATGTGCCGTTGAGAAAAAACACAATAACGGTGAGAGCAGGAACCATGAAACATGAAAAGAAGAGGAGGTGACAATAGGAGTTCACTGAAGAGGTGAGTTTAGAATGGAAAAGAGGATTGGACCCAAGTGTAAAAGTTCAACATTTATGTAATACACCAGATAAAGTCAGAGAGGGTAGTATATTGTAAGTACACGGAAGATGTTCTTGTCGTAATAGGGGTTAATTAAACAAGGAATTGCACTTCAGGTTCTACGTGTAGAACATGTCTCTAACTTGTGGAGTTCCTCAGGGTTCTATCTTATCTCCCGCTCTCTTCTCTCTTTATCTTCTTCCTCTGGGCTCTATTTTTAGAAAACACAATGTCTCTTTTCACTGTTACGCCGATGACCTACAAATGTATTTGCCTCTGACTAAGAAAACAAACTTTACCATTGATACTCTTACTGCTTGTCTTACTGATGTCAAATCATGGCTTTCTAAAAACTTTCTATTCTTGAACCCAGATAAAACGGAAGTTATTGTTTTTAGTCCCTCAGAACATAGGGCAAGTATTCAACCCAATCTCGGTACCTTAAACTCCTTCATTTCTCCCCATGGTCAAAATCTGGGTGTGTTGTTTGATAATTCCTTAAAATGTGATAAACAAATTAGTGCTGTAGTAGGTACTAGATTCTTCCATCTTCACTCCCTTTCTAAAATCAAGTCATTTCTCTCAAAAAGCTCTCTAGAGGTTGCTGTCCATGCCTTTATTATGTCTCGGCTGGATTATTGCAATGCCCTCTATTTCGGAATATCAAAGTCCCAAATCTCTCGGCTGCAAGTTGTTCAAAATGCTGCAGCTAGATTCTTGAAGCGGTGTAAAAAGTTTGATCATGCCACTCCCCTCTTGCGATCATTGCATTGGCTGCCAGTTCACTATTGAATTGAGTTTCAAATATTGCTACTTGTCTATAAATCACTTAACAATCAAGCTCCGTCTTATTTATCTGATTTACTCCACCCCTACTCCTCGAAGAGGAGTATCAGAGGGCACATTTCTCCTTCAGACCCCTAGAACACGCTTAAAAACCAGAGGATCTAGAGCCTTTGAAGTGGCTGGTCCCACCCTCTGGAACAACTTACCAGTTCACATCAGAATGGCTTCCACTTTATCTGAGTTCAAGTCATATCTTAAAACACATCTTTTCTCTCTGGCTTTTAACATGTAGTAATATGCGCCTTTGAATTGTTTTAATCTGCTTTTGCTGTCGTATGGATTTTGAATTGTTTTTATTTGTTTTCTGATTTTCTCCTTGTTATATATTATCGTATTTTGTGCAGCACTTTGGCCGGCCTTGTTTCGTGCTTAAATGTGCTCTAGAAATAAAACTGAACTTGAACTTGAACATGCAATTTTAAACTGTTGAAGGAGGAGAATTCTGGAGGAGGAAAAAAAACATTTAGTTGACCGGTGCAATCACATTCACATTGCATAAGGGGAAAAAATACTGATGATAGAGAAGAGTTAGTTTTATTAAGTAATGGGCTGGTAAAACTGGGTCATGGTAAAATGAGTTATGTGTACAGTACATTTATTTAGTTCGATTTCTTTGTATTTATGCAACACCACTACAATAAGTGACCAGGTAAATCCAGTAGGTGGCAGCAATGCACAAAAATAATGTTTATTTGTGTTTCTGTATAAATCCACCAAAAAAGAACAAACGACCATCTAAGGCATCCAATTCAAATTCTAACCCTACATTTTCTTGTTATTTTGTATTTCTTATTCACAAAACATGCCATCTTAAACGTAACAACTGAAATGTTTAAAGCTTCTCAAAATCATGTAATTGATTTTTTGGGGTTTATTTATTTTATACATATTTTGTGTATTGTGATTGTCTTTACAGTTTTTATTAAACACAGGTTTATTCTTCATCATCATATTCTTCTTCTTCTTCTTCTTCTTATATTATTATTATTATTATTATTATTATTATTATTATTATTATTATTATCATTATTATTATTATTACAAACAGACTCCACTCTGTTGTGCACTGCCAATAAAACTATTCATTAACAAGCTGTAGCTTAGAGTAAATACATATTAGAGAATATCTCCACCCTCTCCGTTAAATCAGATTATATTTGATATTCATCTTGTCAGGATGTTGCAAATACAAAAAAATTGTAATTCATATTTGTCATATATTTGCTTTAAAGACCCATTAATCGTCTTTGCAGATCATTCTGTTTACCTATGTTATGTTGTGTTATGGAGTTTGTTATCTGTACGCCAATTTGAAACTACAGATGTTTGTGTAAATAGATTTTAACTGACCTGTATGAGCTCTTGCCATGTCTCTGTGACTCAATGCATTCACCACGCTCTGCTCCTCTCTCTCTGACTTAATGAGAGAAAGTGAACCTGCTTGTTTTAAAAGGTCAATTTTGATCATGTGATTAATTTGCATGTGGCAGTTTTGGTTTATGATATACATATAATAATATGAGATATATAATAAATTAATAATTACTTTCACTTTAATGATTGTCGTTTTACCAGTCTCTAACGGTCAGTGGATTTATGCTTCAGGTTGTAATTAATAATACTTATAATATTTGTATTGTTAAAGTTGTTTCAACTATAAAGTGCTTTGAGAAGCTACTTTTAAAGTCATTAAACGATTTTGCTTACTAGTGTTTACATAGCTGACATTGTGATAGTTTTGGTAGAATCCTATAGTGTTTTCTACATGAGTGCTTGGTGTAAAATGCTGAATTTGTCTTAGATTAACCGATTAGGATGAATGCAAACAGGAGTAGAGTTTATCATTTAGAATATGTGTAAATAGCAGGCATTTTGAGAGATGTTACAGCAGCATTTCGAGCTGCTAACGTGTTGGGTCACATTCCTTGTGTATGGCTGTTCAAACCTGACCTGGATCATTAAACCAAAAGGAATACATACAGGAACAAAATGTAGTATATTCATCTTTTTTTCCTTCTGACAACTTACATTAGCATTTGCAAAGCCAGTTATATCCCTTACTGAGGTTGTGCAAATGTACACTTTCATAGATGCTTTCTAATTTACTGCTGCTACAGTACATTCGGTGTAAACAGTGAATCCTGGCTGTGTTAAATAGTCAAAGTGTATGCAATTATATTCTATATATTCCTTAAGATAATAAATCACAAAATAAATCATCTGATTATAGTTTCACTGTTGTTGCTAGGGATTCATTCCTTTGATGGCCTCTGGCAACTTTCATTTTCAATTCTCATGAGTCATGATGACTCTTGTTTACTTGGTTTTACTGTCTAATCTCTGTCAATGCTGTAGTCAAAAGCTCATTGTGATCAATGATTTGGTGTCTGAAATGTAAAAACAAGTCAGTTCAGGACATTTATCAGGCAACGGGTGTGTTGGAAACTCAGAAGTTAAGACCAAGGAGACTTCAGCAGGCATCTTTATTGAGAACTCGCTGTGTGGTGCTACAGTCATCAAAAGTCTGACTATGGCAGGCATACACTGTATTTCATCGCATTGAGTGGGCAGTCCTTCCCCGTTGAAGAAAAAAAAAACAGCATATGCTGGTTAGGTATTTTTTGATGCATGGCAGCTGGATTGAGCTGGTTTAAGCTGGTCCCGAGCTGGATATCCTGAATACATTGATTAGCTTGTTCAGTTGTGTTTGATCAGGGTTGGAGCTAAACTCTGCAGGGACAACGACTCTCCAGGACTGGATTTGCCCACCCCTCCTCTACACTCTGTAGTGTGGGCACATACTGTATAAGTGTTCATTTAAAACTGAGGATTTTGCTGTGTTGTTTAAAGGGTTAAAGATGTAAGCTGGGGAAAAAAAACAGCATGAAACGTAATTTAACAGTAATAAACTGTAATTAACTTACAGCAACAAACTGTAAAAAAAAAACAGTAATATGCTGGCAACTGGCAAGTTTGATTTGACTGAAATATTAGTGAAAGTTCATAGAAGAAAAAAACACTTATGCAAAGTCATTAACTGATAAGGAGAATAAATATTAAACAGAACTGTTTTTATGTGTTTTTAATTGAGTTTTGAGGGTCACCATTGTGCTGGAGAGCAGAGCCTGTGCTTTAGTCAATGATGGACCAGAAACACTGATGTTCTGCTGCATGTTACTTTATTCAAGGGCAGTGACTGTGTAGTTGACACAGTGACGATCTCTTTTACTAAATACTTCAGCATAGTGATTAAAGAAGTGAACCTTTTTCGAAGTTTTGAATCAATTGAACCAATTGCTTCGTAAAAACGATTGACTGTTTTGAAGCGGTCGAAACACCACACGCTGGTGATGCCTGCTGGTCAAAACTGTGAAAATGCAACAAAAACTCATGCATAAATAGGGTGAACAGACGTCCCGCTTTTCCCGTGACAGTCCCGTATTTCAGCTCGTTTTTTTGTGTCCCGACTTATTTTGAAAAAAATCATGTTTTGTTCTGTATTTCAAAATGTCTTTACAACTGGGTGATTAGAGCGAGTAGTAGAAGCATGGCTCGACAATAAGGACTGCCTGATGGCCCGGGGCCAGTGTGAAAGACGTTCAGGACAGTAGACGGATTTGTCATTTGCCCGATCGGGCAAAGGCATCGGAACATTTCCCAACCCGACCTGATTTTTTGATTAGTTTGACAGGGAAAACTGTACGTAAACAGAAACACACACACGCGCGCACATATATACATATGTTCATTTATATTAAAAAAAACACTCACCAGAAAAAAAGGGCAGGTGCTCAAGCCCCCTTTGATGTCTTTGTGTGCACGTACCTAAGGCTATATATATTAATTTAGATATCATGAAATAAAATTTCTCATATCATATCATCTCAGATCATATAAAACCCATAGATGCTGGTTCAATGGTTCGATCTCGATGCACTCGCATGATTCACAGGTTTACAGAGATCATCGCCTCCCAACTGCAAACCATAGACATTTCTAAACGGTTTGAAACAGTTATGACATAATGAAACCTCGATTACTAAAATCAAGTGACTTTGGCAGGTTGATACGTGCTCTAAACCACTGTTTCGAAACAATTGATTCACAAAAGTTTCGATGCTTCACAAAGCAGTGCTTCAAAAGCGCCCACACTCTCAGAAAAAAAGGTATAGAAACTGTCACTGGGGCAGTACCATTTCAAAAAGGCACGCCATCCTGGGTCAGAAGTGTTTTAAGGAGGAAGTAAGTGAGAGATGTCCTGTGAGAGATGAGCACAGATTTGTGAAAAGAGCATCTCAGTAATAGACACTCCAGGTCTGTTTGATACATCCATATCAGAACAAGAACTGAAGAATGAAATAGGTCGATGTGTAGAAATGTCTCTTCCTTGTCCTCATGTGTTTCTGCTGGTCATCAGAGTAGGACGATTCACAGACGGAGAGGAAAAACAGTGAAATGGATTCAGAAGAACTTTGGAGAACAAGCCATATACACTCTTAAACATAAAGGTGCTTCACGATGCCATAGAATAACCTTTTTGTCTGAAAGGTTCCATAAAGAACCTTTAACACCTGAAGAACCTTTCTGTTTCACAAAAGCTTCTTTGTGGTGAAAGAAGGTTCTTCAGATTACAAAAAGGTAAGAAAGAGATGGTTCTTTAAAGAACCTTTGACTGAATGTTTCTTGGTGGAACCAAAAATGGTTATTCTATGGCATCGCTTGAAGAACCTTTTGAAGCACCTTTATTTTTAAGAGTGTGCACCATCATTCAACATGTTCACTTTTTACAGTGTAGTGGATCCCATATATGAACACGGAGCGGTGTCAGTTTAACACTGGGGATTTTACTGTTTTGTGGGTCATGTCTTTTCAGTTCAGTCTATTCTGTCCCTCTCTGTAGTCTAGTTGTAGTTTTTCAGTTGATTACCCCCACTTTTTCTCTCTGTCTAGAAAATGTGTATTTAGTTTTGTTCCTTCAAATAAAATATTACTGTATTGATATGCAAATCTTTAAATGTATTGGTATGATTCTTAAGCCTTTACACTCTGTGGCACAATAATAATAACAGTAAAGGAGTAAGTTAAACTCTACATTTTGAAATCCTGACTTTAGCTAATTCATCAGTTAACACATGCACGTTTAGCTATAAATTCTTGCCATCCTCTTGACATTGTGGTAAAGTTCCCTGGCAGTGACCCCTAGGTCACACTTTTACAACTGCATAATACACATAACACATAGATAATACACAATATGAGTTAATTTATTAGTTTATTCCTTTATTTAATAATCATTTTGTTATTAAAATCTATTAAACAGAAATGCTCTGTTAATTATTTTATTGTGATTAGAAAAGTAGGACACAATATTTAACAAACAAGTACAATTTGTAAAAGGAAATCTGGTGTCTGATTGATTTTAAATGGTTATGTTTTATATTTATATTTATACACAATTTAAGTCAGTGCCTTTTATATTTTTTGTCTGGATGTATATTTTCTCGCAAGCACCCAAGCTGCTGCTGCTCCTATAAGCACACCTCCTAGTGCTCCTACTGCTGCTGCTTTCCATGTAGTTAATTCACCTGCTCCTACTTCAGAAGCTACTGCTCCTAAAAATATACCTGCTCCTCCTCCTATTTTTGCTCCAGTAACATATTTTCTGATTAGGATTTTATCCTGTGTCTCTTTATAGTCCTGCTCATTGTATCTCTTGTACACATTCTTCCTCCTCAGTCTGTTTATCTTGTCCAGAAGCTCAGTGACTTGAGATTGATCTTCATCTTTGTTGTTAAAAACATGAAATCCTCCTGAACACTGATCAACGAGTGATCGCAGTGTTTGACATTCTCCCAGATGATCTTCTACTGTCTCCTGTAACTGCGTATAGAGCACTATTGTGTGTTTTAAGACTTTTGCTCCAAAATGATCCTGGATCCATTTCATTGCTGTAATGACCTCCTCTGTAAATTTAACACCCAGTCTGATCACCAGCAGAAACACATCAACACCATCGTGTGCACAATCAAATATCTGCTCTATTTTGGTCTGAAGATCTGTAATCTTCACTTTTGTATCAGAGAGTCCTACAGTGTCGATCACATTGATTCTTCGTCCGCCCACTTCCGTATGTGCTGCTGCACAGATTTTGGTTTTAGACTCAAAAGAGTAGCCTTCTTCAAATGTTTTTCTGTCTCCACCCAGGATGGTGTTTCCTGATGCACTCTTTCCTGCTCCAGTCAGACCCAGCAGCACAATATTCACACGTGACACTGTAAATAAGATGAACAGACAGATGAATAGATAGATAGATAGATAGATAGATAGATAGATAGATAGATAGATAGATAGATAGATAGATAGATAGATAGATAATTTACTTTGAAGAGGTTGATCCATGCTTCTCCTCCGCATCTTGTCTGTCAGTTGACTTACTTAATTTTATCTCTCTTGATTAAGAGGAAACATATATTAGTAATAAAATATATTAGTAAGGAAAAATCCTGTTTTTTTGTTTGTTTTGTTTTTTTCCAGTCAAATAGTTCATTGAATGTTGTCATAATCATTTTCTATATATATTTAAAAAATAAGTTAATACACCAAACATTCATTTACAGATTATTTTGTGCAACAGTAGAATTAAACATTTATAAAAAGTAAAAAATAACAGTCAGTTTCACTATTACAGGAGCTGTGTGAAAAAAAATTTAAATCATCGAATACTGAATTTAAAGTCAACACTAAATTAAAACCATAGAATTATTCTACTAACAGCAAGAAAATCGCCATTCTTTCTCTATTTTATTGTATGCAGTATTTCCTCATATGACCAAATTATTGACTGTGCTATGTACTAAATTTATGCAACATGATATTTGTCTCTATATCTTTTCTAAACACTTGTTAGTTATATACAGTAAGATAGAAAACATTGCAACTGATCAGGTTTTTTTATACTCACTCTTTGTAATTTATTCCAGCAATTTAGTTTATCCAGTTCATAAACATGTGTACACAAGGTCATACAGTAATTGCAACAAAATAAATAAATAATTGACAAAAATGAGCATTTACTTGCAGATGGTTTTCACGTTGTCCGTGCAACAGCCTCTGAAGACAATAATAAATAAACTAAAGAGCCTGTCCTGCATTGTCAAATGCAAAAAAGGAAAACCCCACACAGCAGATACACACCCACTGGTCTGGCTTCCAATAAACACAAGTTTGCCATTTACATTTAACTTCATATCTGAATTAAATTTTTATTTTCAACCAGAATTTGTTTCTGCTCTATGCAGCGTCCTTTAATGTGATCTGCTTGATACACATAATAATCAGAAGAAACAACAACATAATATACTGTCAATAATTTGATAATATCCTATACCACTAGTTAGTTTCCAGGTCTACATTGTCCTCTAGTGGTCAGGAGCATTTCTGTTAGATTTCAACTATTTTATTTAGCATTTTACTTGTAAATTTGATGATTAGATCCAGATCAAATTTTTCTGGAAATTAAAAAAAAACCGTGTCACATCTCTGTTGTTTCTCACTAGTGCTATTTTGCTTATAGTCTAAGAAATTGTGTTTGTAGGCATATTTTACTAGAACTGTTAACACAGATAGCACAGATAGGTTGGACACATCAATGCAGAACAGCCTGTGTTTATTAGTTTTTAAGTATTCTTATTATCATCACTGTAGCTGTTGTTGGTTTTGAACATGGTTTCATCATAGATCTGGATGAAATCTTTGTCAGGGCTGCACAAAGCTCAGCTGCACGTCTCCACGAATGTCCAGAACATCAATCTCCTCCAGATTAGTGTAGCGATGGCTGTAAGTGTGAGTTTGTTCACCATTGACAAACACCTCGTAACCCTGATGACTGCAGAAGATGGTGACCTGAAATGCATTCAAATCATTCAATTCTGCATGCTTTACAGATTTTTCCCTAATTGTACTGTACAGTCATTGCCCAGTGTATTTACAGTCATATCCACACTGTCCACTTGAATATCAATGGTACTTTCATAAAGTCAAATGTTTGCTTACTTGCAGCGGTTGTCCTATTTGAATTGGCATGAGCTCATAAATTTCCTCATCGCCCCATGTCCCATCCTCATAGCTGTTGCACACAACCACATTCTCATCAAAACGAGGACTGTAGTAAAACGCAATTCCGCTTTTGTGCCGTAGAAAAATCTCCATTCTGGGGAAAGAAGAGGAATGTTTTTCTGATCAGCTGGAAGCTGTCATGATTCAAAGATTATTTCAAACAGAAGGTGTTATTTTTGTTGTCAAACCCATTAGGATTGATGACTCCTTCAATGATGATGACTTTTCCAGACCGTAATCCACCATCAATGATGCTTTTGTATGGGACTTTCTGATTGTGGGTCAAAGTAATTAACAACATTTATAATATACTGCAACTGATTAGTAACTAATCAGTTCATTGTATTAGATATAAAAAAAAAAAAATACTGATTTTGACAATACTGAAAGTTAAATGCGTTTATGAGTGTTTTTTTTATTTTTTTTTTATAACATTCATTAAAAAAGTTCTGTATAAAACAGAAATATTTATCAAAGCACATAAGTAAGCCTTATAAAATTAACCAAAATCAAATTTTTTTTGGAACAGGGTGTCTAAACCTGTACCTGGAGATCAGAGTTTAGCTCCAACCCTAAGTAAACACAGCTGACGCAGCTAATCAAGGTCTTCAGAATCACTAGAACAGTGGTTCGCTTATCTAACGCACTCAGTTCACTTGCGTTCCAGTTCATTTATTTACGTCGGTTAAGGCTAGAAGGGATACAGCTGCGGCTACTGGGCATGCGCTCATCAATATAGCGTAATTTTTGTAACACTGTACAACAATAATTATTATTATTGTAAGGGGTAGGTTTAGGGTTGGGGTAGGTGTAGACGTTAATAAAACAATCTAATAGCTAGAAAATTAATTTCATTGTTAGTTGAAAACTAACTTTTACGTAAAAGTGGAACGCACTTCAAAATGGCAGCGGGGATTCCCCCGAGGGGAAGTGCTTAGGGAAGTTTGTGAGTGCGTGTCTAAAAGTGAAGTGGAACACAGCCATGGAGCTGATGATCTGAGTCAGGTGTGATAAATCAGGGAGATATGCGAAAGGTGGATCCCCGAGACCTGGAAGAACTAGACCAGACAAGTGTGTTGAAGCTGCTTGCAATCTAATAGCTAGAAAATTAATTTCATTGTTAGTTGAAAACTAACTTTTACGTAAAAGTGGAACGCACTTCAAAATGGCAGCGGGGATTCCCCCGAGGGGAAGTGCTTAGGGAAGTTTGTGAGTGCGTGTCTAAAAGTGAAGTGGAACACAGCCATGGAGCTGATGATCTGAGTCAGGTGTGATAAATCAGGGAGATATGCGAAAGGTGGATCCCCGAGACCTGGAAGAACTAGACCAGACAAGTGTGTTGAAGCTGCTTGCCCTCCAGGAGCAGGATCGGACAGCCCTGGTTTACACATGTCCGTTCTTTTCTAATCACACCGATATGCATCGAAGTGTTAAGAGCACTAAAAACGTCATCAAAGTGTTACAGAGATTCAATCTGTCACTAAACAAAATCTCTAAAGACCTCTAGGCCAACCGCACATTTCAGATGACTTACCAAAGATGCCGGAGGCACAGGATGATGGGGCTGTAAATTAAATGTGATATTTAGGACAGGAACACATTTAGTAGAATTTGGCTGTTAAATCAAAGTGACTTTAAAATAGCAAAATTACATTATGTGTGCCATTGTAGCACTCTACAACATAATAAAGGTGCTGTTTTAACAGTAAGGTGGTACTAAAACTGAGCTGATGTCCATCTGTCTCTCCAGTATATCAGCCATAAACTTAAAAAAGAAGTCTTTGTTACTAGTGCTTTGTGTGTGTGTGTGTGTTTTTAACCCCTTGTATCAGTATGTTGTCTATTTGAAAAAAAAAAAATTTGTACATTTACTGTATATTGTTTAAACTATGTACCTTTTTTTGTTAAATTGCATCTTCACCTTCCAGTGTCTTATATTTATTGTATTGCACGTGGTTCAGTCTGTATATAATGCTGTTGTATGGCTGTAATGTACATCAGTTTCCCTCACACGTTCAATAAAGAAGCTTCCAAGCTATTGAAATATCAAAACACAATGATATTGCTAATACTGGTATTTAAGTGTATATTTTTCTCACCTCAAGATACTGGAAAGTGATTAAACTAGGTCTGACCATTCCAGCCATACAGATTTTATCCACATGTGTCAATGGCATACGGTGCTTGAACTCAGAGAAGGGTTTCCCATTGGCACTTATCTAGAAAAAGCCAACAACACTGAGGTCATTTTTGACTGAAACTAATTTAGAAAAGCAAAAGTGCACGAGAGTGAATGACCTTGTATGAGCTCAGTGTGATGAGGATCTGCAGAGTAAACAAATGGCCTCTCGGGAAAGGAGTTGGAGCTTTGATTTCTTCATTTCCCCAAACGCCGTTCAAGCGGGAGTTGTGCACGATGTACCCACCACTGTTGTAGCGAGGGTTAAAGTGCAGAGCGACATCAGCTGCATTCTGAAGGTCCACGTGGAATCTGAAGAAGAAGAAGAAGAAAATAACTGCTGTAACATGTCAAACGCAGAATGGGAATGCAGGTGATGTATCAATGCATCAAAGTCTCAAGGGTATAAATATGTCCAGTTGTATGTGCAAACTGTTGCAAGTGTAAAACAAACAGTAAATAACTTTTTATATCTTTCTGGTAAAGCATTTTATAAATTATTGAAATTTTAACTTTAAAAATGCGACGGTCACACAACCCCATGACCAACTCACACAAACAATAACAGTATCCCGTTAGTCGTGTGATAAGAATATTAAAGTGTCATTGAAGATCTAATATGTAAACTAAACCGGATCTTTCCTTTACTCCTCCGGGCTCGGTGACACTTTATAATAACTAAAGGTTAATGACATTTGTAAGCATTTTGAACTTACCTGAAATAATGATTTGTTTGAACATTATCTAATGTTTAATACGTTTATTAGCAAACATTAACAAGCACATTATCTCACGTTTCTAACTCTTTGAATAAATATTTACTAATGATCCATTAAGCAGTATATAATGTTTGTTAATGCTGTATTAATGAAAGTTATTATAACGTGTTACCAAAGAGATTTACAAATAAATAGAATGAGATCCACAGATCTATTTTAGAGTTTCATAAAATTAATTTAACAAAGAAATAAAATGAAATCTG